CCGATTCTGGAAATCACGAATACTATGACAGAGGGCACAGAACTAGGCACTTTCTACAATCAAGTTAGGAAAACTAGGTTGAACCACCACTATCAGGCCAGAGGTGACTTTAACCAAACAGAAGGCCACACCATCTTGGTCTTCATATATACCTTTCATTTCGTTTGAAGAGGTGAGCGGCAGGGATTCGTAATTTGACCACACAGGAAGCTGTGCGGGGCTTGCCTTGGAACTCTGCAAGTTGATTTGTGCTAATGTGTCCTCTGCGCATAGCCTTTCGACCCCGATGAATCCTTGTTGAGCTTTCATCTGTTATGTGACAGACACCGTCAGAGCAGAACACCAGGCTTTACGATAATTCACCAACCATAAATACCGGCTACATTTTTACCTACTTTTTATAACCTAGCTAGGTTTATCTAGTGAGACATCTCATAATTTGGTTAAGTATCCTATGCTTCTCCTACATGTTGTTGAGGAGTGAAGTGGCTGTAGGTGAAGCGTGAAATTGATGGAAATGTTACCAAACAGCTGCATCTTCCCCAAAACGCTTATCTTTTTTTGTTTGATCCTACAATGGTGCCGCATATGGTTGCGTTCCATTGCATGTGTGGTGTGTGTATTCAATGCTCGTGAGGCGCATGAGGCTTGAGAGTTAAAACCAAATTCGAGGTCAATCAAGCCTCCTGCTCGTTGATCCTTCTTGTACCCTAAATCTATCTCTAATCTTATCCAACAGCCACATGCAATTTCCAATTAATTTCCAACACTCATGCCTTCTATTTAGGATATTGGCTGTTCTGTTGCTTTCTATGCATAACATGATTTTTCGCTTAATTGTATAGTCTCCATATCCAGCTAAGCGTTTTATATTATTAGAGGGACCTTCATTTCGAATGAAAGTGCATTAGAGGAGATTCGTTGGTCGATCTCACCAGATGAGGACGGATGAAACTTGTTGTACTGCAACCATTTGGCTTTTATACTATATTCATGTTGACACAGTCCACGAGACTTCCTCCCTCGTTTCCGATGAAAACGTGCTGAGCTTTCGTCCATCATATGATGGACATCATCAGAGCTGGGTGTCATTCTTGTAAAACTCTCACGTTAACACTAGAGCATGAGCACTATCCGGCTCTATCTTACTGCTTATATAGACTCAATCGAGCCAAAAAATTAAAAATTAAAAACCTAGATAGATCGATATAGATTGGTTTGGTTAATTTTATTTCATACTGGTTCTGTTAATCTTGCTCGATTGTATGAGTATGTATATTTGTGCGTGTTAGCGTCTATATGCAATACGGTTCCTAAATCAGATTTGTCCAAGGTAAAATCTCAGGTTCTGATCCTCAAAACCTAATAAGCGAAGAGAAAATCTTTGACCGAGACTGCCTAGGTCCGTAAATAAGTATGGTTGAGATAATGAAATATAAGCTTGTAAGCATGATAATCAAGTTATGAAACCATTTGTCCTAACCTTTCAGTTAAGGGTCATTAACATTTAACCCTCCAAGGAAAAGCAAGACTGGGGTTGCGCAATCTGAAATTGATGGTTTGTTTGAAGAGCCTACTCTAATATTTTGGGCGAATGCGAGTGAAATTAGAACCATCACTAAGCAGATAAATTGAGTCGCCTTCTTTTTCAAGGCGACTTAACACCATCTCTCTTTCAATCTATCAATCAAGCATAAGTAATTCCTACTCAACTTTCTACCCTCGTTTCTCACATTTAACGTATTTCCTAATCTATTGATTTCAATAGCCTCTCTTATCTTTTTTTTAAACACGGACGTACCGTAAACAGCAAACCTACTAGTTTGAGACCATTTTATTTCATGTCCAGTATCCACCATGTGTTCGCCCACTTCTGACCGTTGGATCCAGCTATCTTTGCAAGCATTTTTGTGTTCTACCAATCTTTGTCGAATAGGTCGGAATTTCTCACCAATATAACATCGACTGCATGAGTAAGCAATCTTGTAGCAGCCGGATCTCGATAATGGGTCATATTTCTCTCTGAATGATAGCATAACAGAATAAAATGTAAGGGTGTATGCCCCACTTTACTAATTCGCCTATCTTTTTTAAGAGAAAGCATGACGGTAAAATTAGGACATGGGAAATGGTCTCTCAGTGATGGTTCTAATTTTACTCACATCAGCCCAAAATATTAAAGTAAGCTCTTCAAACATACCAGCCATTTCAGATTGCACAACCCCAGTCTTGCTTTTCATCGGAGGGTTAAATGTTAATGACCCTTGACTGAAAGGTTAGGACAAATGGTTTCATAACTTGATTATCATGCTTACAAGCTTATATTTCATTATCTCA